ATAGATTTCCCCATGCCACTATCGTTAAAAAATCGATCGATAACTGAACCCGACCTGCCAATAACCGTTAAAAGTATTGGATGCCATATGTTAATTGACATATTTATAAAAAGAAATCTAGGTGATAATTTACTTATTTCTGCAAATTGACCCTCCATTTTGAATAGTATCGATTTTTAAAGTAATAAAGCGTAAATTTAACTGATGTCAAATAAATACGTTCTCAAAGACGACAAGGCAAATATTTAATCAAGGAAAAGGTTTTATTGCTAATAAAGTAACATGTTTTTACTCGAATGAATTTTATAAAGAGAAATAAAAATGCAATCACAAGTCTCATGTAAGTATAAATATTCGGTGGTGCATTTTATTTTCCCCTTAAATACTTTATCCCTAAATCATACATAATTTATTGTTAGCTTATTTTGCGCTGCTGTGGTCATCAGTCCCCACCATCTCACAATTGTGGTTTATGGTGATATTCAAGGATATGCAATGGCTTACCTTTTACACAGCAGATAGTAAAGTTACTCTATCCCTCCTTTCAGAAATGAAAGAGGCATGACCTACAAGACAGCAGGTGGTTTGATTTCTGAGTTTTCCTTAGACTAGAATCAAACAATTTCATATGAATGCCATACATGACGTCTATGTTGTTCAGAAATGTCTAAGTTTTCGCTTATATACAGCCGTTTTCTACGGTTAAAAATGGCTTTAAGTGAATAAACCGGTAAGGTCTTAAAAAGACAATGCTTAATCTGTTGGTGCTACAGAATGGCAAACAAAGAACTTTACCAAATAATAAATAAATACTTCAGTGTAATACTTCCAATAGCAGCAACAATTAAAAGGTATTGCACATGTAACTAGAATGGATAATAATAATAATATAATCTAGATGTTAACATTCCAAACTACCGTAAACATAATATCAGGAAAGAAACTCCCATCATTTCTCGAAAGAGCGATAACATATGGTGCATTTGTTAAGCGCAACAAATCTCTATCTATAAAAGGCAGGATGTGTGTGTGTGTGTGTGTGTGTGTGTAACGAATGCACTGCCGCAATTTTCGACGAATTTGCACCAAATTTTACATGCACATGCTCCAAGTTAGAGGGCAGACCAAGACCGATGGTGCATTTCCCAACTCCCATCGATAGTGAAAATAATCGATTTTTTCATGCTTCTACGGCACTTTTCATGTAGTTTGCGGCCATTTTTTTTTACTGGCCAGAGTGAGGGCCTATATCTGGCTGCCACGAATTGGCAGCAAGATTCTATTGGCCAGCGTGAGAGCCCACAGCTGACTGACACGAATGTTAACTAGCATGCTAGCATACAAAAAAATAATCGATAGCTGTATTCGTCACAATTGGGAAAAATTTAAATCTGCATGGCACTTTACTCCAATTGGCTCATTCGCTTGCTTAAACTCAACGTTGATTCTGATTCCGCAGAACTGGGTTGGGTGTTAAAAAGTATTTGTTATTAACATTCTTTTTTCATTCGGTTTTTCCAGTCACGAGTCCTTTTTTAATCGTTTTGTTTTCATTTTGTTTAATTCTTTTTTCGTAACAGATTTAATGTTTAGTATAGAGCTTCGAAAAAATTCGCAGTGTGAGATAGGCAAGAAGTAAGGCATGTAGCAACATCAGCACGGCAAAAGGCACTCCTTTAGAGGAAAGGAAGGGCAAAAATATTTTAAGTCAAGTGATAGCGATTGCTGTATGAGTCGTACGATGTTTAAATCAAGCACGGGCAACGCCGGGCCATGCTGCTAGTTAAAAAAAAAAGAAATAATATCTGTGAAACCGGTGTAGAATTCCGTCTTCGTCTTAAATAAGCCTTAAAAAAACTAGCAAAGACGAAAACATCCATGTTATTGTAACTGCTGCACATAACGTCAGATGCGTCCTTTTAGTGTCTTCATTTCAATGCCAACGCGGACGCGGAAAGTCTGAGTAAAAAAAAAGGAACAAAATTAAATTAATTCGTATATACTACTAATCGTGGCAAGTGACATATCCAAAACAATTGTTGATTGATCTCATCAGTAATATTAAGAATGCGAAAAAGAATCCTCCCAAATAGTGCTACTTCATTTTGTATTTCTTACTGAGAAAAGATACAAGCGACATTCCGATTTTTAACATCTTTCTCATTATGATTCTATTTGATCAAAATGCCTACTAATATACAATAAATATTATTAATCTTATTACAGACATGATTATTTTTGTTATTCTCTATCTCTCAAATTTCCTTCATTGGTCTACTCTATCTACATAGTACATGAAGCATAAAAAACTAGCTTTCTTTACTCTTATATAAAGGGTGAGTGAAAAGTAGCTCCCCATTTTAAAATAGTTTATTTATTAACTATAATTTCTACAAGAAATGGATATGAGAAGAAAGCGTTTAGCATGAGGTTTTATTTAAAATTGGTAATGGGCACCAGATTTCGCTACCGGCTACTTTAGCCGGCCAAGAATGGCGTCAACTTATTACACCGGGAACTCTAGTGGTAGAGAAGACAACTTATTGTATTCGCCCTTGAAGCTCACCCAAAGTTTACTCCTTTAACCAGTCCCAAAGGGGAAAAAAGTCACATGGTATTAAGTCAGGACTCCTAGTTGGCCACTCATATATAAAATAGTGAATTACTTTTCAATCAACATATATATCAGAATGGATTTTTATTAAGGCATCGTATTTTTATCACATTCAACGTTATTATTAGTGGATACTCGTATTTGAGTAGGCGGCCCGTTTATATATTAAACAGTATATTTATTTTCACCTACCGCTCTGAATGTTTAATCTTATTAAACAAAAACTTAAGCTCTTCAGCAGGAATCGAACGTGTGTGCTTCAGGTTAGAGGGTGCGGAGTTTAGCCCGATGTGCCTTAAACTGAGTATTAAGAGACAGATTCTACAAATTCCAACCGACATTAAAGTTAGCTGTTCAGTCAATGAATGCCGAAAGTTTTACGTATGGAAACAGTCAATTTTATCATTATTCGCGTAAAAATGATTTTTGATACATTTTTTTAAATCTCCATCAAGTAACCTTGTTCAGACATTGACGTTCGGTTATATTATCAGTACATTGTCTAAAATGGGGAAAAAACAAAAATATACAAATATTGTAATGCTTAGGTGCGATCAATTAGCTCCAAATTATTTTTATGTTGGAAGATGCGTAGGAGTGTAAGGAAGTTCGAAAGTTGAAAAGTGTTCGAACAGTTAATGGCTTTTAAAGATTTGTGTGGAAGATTGATATTATCAATACCAATAGAGCTGGTAATGTTTATAGCTAGAAGCTGATCGGTGTAGAAAGTGGGCTTTCCTTTTCAATTATTACTAAACTTTTAGGTAAAATAAACAATAATAAGTAGAAATGCGTAGCTCTAAGAAATAATTTGTTTACAATAAGAAAGTATGACTGGGTGTAAAGCAGCAATTTATAAAACAGAAATATATCAATACAATATAAGCATCATTAAAACATGGCACAGAAAAAAATGGTTTACGGTAATAGGCGGTACTGCTTGTTTCATGAAGCAAGAATATAGATTATAAACTTATTTTTTTATCGTGTTGAATACAAACTTTCGTCATCAAAGACCAAGCTAGCTAAACGAAAACTTAGGATATATTTGTTACCTTATGCGCAGGTTGTGTATAAGTTAATCTAAAGCTTAAACTGAACTTCCCACCAGAGAGCATCACTAAATTAACACGAAAGTGAAGCGAGCACTTTAAGATTTTGCTTAAACTGAGATTACGCGGACATAGTTGTGGACTTAAGTGACTGGGGAAAAGAAGAACAGTGTTTTGTTCGGAGTAGTATACATCTAAGTAATTTATGCTTTTTTAATGACTATTAATTTAACAGATATTTTCTTATTTACGTGGCTCGGCAACTGTAATTTAGTGGGGAATATTTTCATTATAGATTCTACATGCTGTGGGATACCTATTATTTAACATGCAAGAATTCATGAACTAGAGTCAAATATTAAGTTCTTTACATTTATCAAAATGGTCGTTAAAAGTAAACGATTCAAGTATTTCGTAAGGAGTGAGGATGTCAAATACTTGAATTAATTTTATGTGTTATCACTTAAAATTACTAAAGAAGTATTCTTTTTTTCGAAATTTAAACTGATATTTATAAATACCGTCAATTTGACACTGCGGCGTGATATGGAATTAAATGATTTAACTGATTCATTAGGACAAAAGACATATTCTTTTCATTCATTTTGTAATGATGCCATCAAAGCATTCACTGTATAGTCATTGTAAAAGGAGCCATGTTAGTTTCAAAATGACCTTATGGTGACTGATCGCATTTTAGTAAGTGAAAAAGACACAATTTAATAAAAATGCCAATTTATGCAAGACAGTTTTATTCATTTTCGACTATTCTTATTTGTTTTGACATTAAACATTAGCATATTGTTTAAAGTGAATCGTAACACTGAAAACGTTGAGAATTATGACTCTCTTAAGGATTCTAATATTTCACGTATCGTATCCCTTCAGCCTATGAGTAATCATGGGTCTCCACTTGGTTTAAGTAATGTTTAATATATCACAAGACTTCTTTGTCGTTTATTCTCCCATACATTCAGTCCAACTCATTATGTAGGTTACTTACTTTTTCCTCCAGTTTTTTTTGCCTTTCGTATATTTAGTATTAAACTAAACTATACGTGACCTGGTGGGTCACAGACGCTTCAGCTTATAAAACATTTAAGTTGATTTCAACATTAAAAAATTGTGAGTCTGAAGACTGTTGGAATAAAAACACTTATTTAATGTATAAACAACTCACATTTTTAAATCTTATGCACTTAAAATATTTTAAAATGAGACAAACTTAAAAATATTTTTTAATATGCCAAAATATATTTTTAAATCATATTCACTTGGAAATATTTTTTAAATATGCCAAAAAATATTTTTAAAATATTTAAAATTTTGTTTGTTTAAGGAAAGCTGAAATATAAATAAGCACGCACGCAATCCCGAGAAGATCGCAAGAGAGAGAGAGAGAGAGAGAGAGAGAGAGAGAGAGAGAGAGGGTGGAAAGAGAGAGAGGTGGAACGAGTAAGAGATGGAAAGAGAAAGAGATGGAAAGAGAGAGAGATGGAAAGAGAGAGAGGTGGAACGAGTGAGAGGTGGAAAGAGAGAGAGAGAGGTGGAAAGAGAGAGAGGTGGAACGAGTGAGAGGTGGAAAGAGAGAGAGAGGTGGAAAGAGGGAGAATTGGAAAGAGAGAGAGGTGGAAAGAGAGAGAGGTGGAAAGAGAGAGCGTTTTTTTTTTGCTTTGTCAATTCATGTATACATCTCTCACCTTCCTACATGACAATAAATTTACATTTTTCTTTCCCACACTCTCTATATATGATATATATATATTCATGTGCACGGTTCTAAGTAACGTTTGATCTTTTACCCTTACATTTTGCCTCTGTTCTGCAATCCATTCAGTTAAATTCATTAGGCAAGTTACAGGCTCCCTTAGATTACTTCTTTAGCATTCAAATATTATCTGAGTGTTAAATTTTCAACGCTTACTTTCCTCATTGTATGTCCCAGTAATATAAACTTTTTCACATTGTACATATACATTTCTTTCTAGTTCATATGGCCATTAAAACTTTCTAGTTTCTCACATTATTTGTCGATAGTATTTTCTGAATTCCTCAGTAGAAACATATCCCCGTCACTTCAAGTCTCCACTTAATCTATAAAGAGATTATCCCCCATTTGTTGCCATTTAGGAGATTAAGCATGACTTCTTAGTTCAAAAGCATACTTCTTCGTCACTGACTCAGGTTACTTACCTCTTAATAAATAGCTTCGTTTCATCTTTCAATATTTCTATGCGTCTTTGGATTTCTGTGCCACATTTTCTACTTAATTAAATTGAAGTTACTATTCACTTAAATTTCTCATTACCAGCTGAATGTTGTTGAGCGTGGAATTAAATTAATGTAAAAGTAAGAAAGAAAAGACTCTAATTTCCGATCAAATCCTTCTCTATTTTAGTATGTAAAGTAAAGTGAGTATTTCTTTTTTATACTAAATTTTACCCAGTAAAGGGTTGGAGAGCCACTCAGTGTAGATCGTTACAATCAAAATAATGTTGATGAATGAGGTCTGTGATATGAATCGAAGAGGTCTTTTACCCTCACATGTGATGATTATCAGTGTGATTACTGCACCATGACTTGAAGCGATCAAGATTAAGGTGTTCAGGGAAGCAATCACAAAAAGTTGCAATTCTTAGAAAAAAAACTGCATAAGTGAGATATTTTTCTTACATTTGGAACATGTAGTGAATGAAGTTGTTTCAAAGCCATGGAAGCAGTATGGCGTGTAATAAGAGTAAACGTCGGAACTGGTGAAATTAAAGAATGGAGTTTATCTGATAATTTGCCATGGAAGAAAATTGATAGGTTTGCAGCGTTGGCTCTGTGAGAAAGAGGCTACAGAAGTGAATATTATTCTTCCCCACCAGATCACATGAACGGTTTCGAATTCTGTCAGGTTTGAAAAGTGAAGACTAAGCAACTTCAGATTTGACATTGGCAGAATATTCCATTAATGTATAGCAGAAACAGTGTCCAGAGTAAAAGAATGAACGACAACGTACCTTACCACACATAAAAGTGTGGTTCGTGGAAGCAACAGTGAGTTTCCTTTGTTAACGAGAGTTCGACAGTTACCGGATTTAATTCTATTCGGCACATTTTTGATGTGGTTGAAAGTGAGATTATAATTCTACACGTGAAGCGATCCACTATAGAATAATTTCATGATGTTGTGAAAATAGCATAGACCTTATTTTGAAAAGAGACTTCCAGAACATCATCGAATCAATGTTAAGAACTGACGCGGTTCTAAATTCCAAAGGAGGTCCAACCTGGTACTATAATAGTATATGTTATAAAGTGACTGGGGAACACACACACACACAAACACACAAACACACACATAGAATTGTCCAATCATATAACAGTATGCGACAATTGTTCATTTCACAAAATGTTTAATATCGAAAAATCACAAATTAAGTATCATTTTTCAGGTTTTCAAATGAAACGTTTAGCCATCTTGACAGCAACTGTCGTAAGAATCAATGAAAAACACTTATCCAGCTAGAAATATATATATATATATATATATATATATATATATATATATATATATATATATATATATATATATAGAGAGAGAGAGAGAGAGAGAGAGAGAGAGTATAGTATATATATATTATCAGAATGATACATCAATTATTTATGAGATATAGATAGTATGGATACATGAATCAAAATCAGAATGTTTATAGTTATCGGCTGAGTGGACATTGGGCTTAACACTGCATGATATTTGTCGGCTTCATACTTCAAGTGATATTCTGACGATATCTCGAAAGTCGCTTCTCTCTCTCTGTATCTCTCTTTTCTCTCTCTCACACACACACACACACACACACACACACACATATATATATATATATATATATATATATATATATATATATATATAGAGAGAGAGAGAGAGAGAGAGAGTGCCCGCTGTTAATTTTTTAAATTTTCTACTAGGGCACAATCTTTTGAAATTATCTAATATATATATATATATATATATATATATATATATATATATATATATATATATATATATGTGTGTGTGTGTGTGTGTGTGTATATATATATATATAGAGAGAGAGAGAGTAGTGAGTGGTCTCGTATCAGGGGATGCCTGTCTACTAGGGCGGTTAGATAATCCTCCTTTACAGACGCCAGCTCAGGCACATTTGTGTTCAAATCCCACAGACCCCACCTGTGGTTTATACTGCAACTTTGCTGATATATATATATATATATATATATATATATATATATATAGAGAGAGAGAGAGAGATAGATAGATAGATAGATAGATAGATATGCAGAAGGCAAGCAGAATTTCTCTTTATGATATTGACGGAAAGAAAGTGAATACGGCCATCTAATAAAAAAAAATGTATATATATCTACAAGATATAGATAGGCCTATAAAGTGTCAATGAGGGAGTGGGAAAAAATAGAGAGAAAATTAAAGAGAGAGAGAGAGAAAGAGAGAGAGAAAGAGAGAGAGAAAGAGAAAGAGAGGAAGAGAGAGAAAGAGAGAGAGAAAGAGAAAGAGAGAAAGAGAAAGAGAGAAAGAGAGAGAGAGAAAGAGAGAGTTTATGGACGGGATACAAATGCAGTAGCTCTCAAGGTTGAAATATTGATTCACTAACAGACTATCCGCGATAAAAATGCAGAGAAGGATATTGCTTTTAAGTGAATATTTGTATATCATATTCACTCAGCGAGGCACCAGTATGCTTTTTACAGAACATGAAACCGTTGTTTTTATTCCCCTTTTAGAAGTTTCTCATGAGCTTATTTTCTTATCCCTAAAAGATCATATTTTAGTCCCCTAATAGAAATTCACCATGGACGTCGTCTGATCATAAAAAGAGCAGAAAAATGAAGTCTTGTTATTGTCAAAACTGGCATCTTGCCCAAGTGCTAAAATCATCGCTTAAAAGAGGTTTAATGTTATGAGAAGATTGTCCGGGATAAGATCTGTAGATGTTAAAATGGTCAATATCTGCGGACAGAATAGAGTAAGTAAGGTCATTGTTTTGGGAATGGGGAGTGTATTCTGGAATCAATTTCAATACGCACTGCTACACTAGTTGTCAGGAATTAGGGAGTATATTTACAGGATACAATATTAGCCATATGTTGATTTGGCATTTTCATATTGCGACATTTATTGGAAAAATAAAAATTTTGATTTAAGATTGAGCACGACATTTCCTGCCTATAGGTAATTCTATTATTTGTGAAATCTGAAATACGCCTATCAGTCTGTCTCGTCTGATGAAAAGGAAATAGCACGACGAAAACCAGATTACATTGTAGAGATTTAAGTTAATAATATGACAAATACAATTTCCTACTATTTTTCTTACGAATCGTTTCTTAATGGCTAAGAGTAAGTGTGTAATTCTTTTCATTTTTAATAATAGATTCTTCTTTTTGGCCATATCCCTTCATTGGTGATCATCGCTCTCCACAGCTTTCTATCTTTTTTGGCTCTTAGCAATGTTTATTTTTACTACCCCTTCCAAATCCTGTTGCGTAATCCATTTGTCTAAGCTTGTTAGGTTATTCACTGTTTATCTCTATCCCTCTTACCTTCAACACGCCCTGTAAGTGTTGTATTCGCCAACCCCTCTTTCTCTGTTATGCTTCTAAAAAGTTTCAATGTCTGATTTTAATTATCATTGTCTTTTTACTTCAAAATTTCTTCATTGTTCAAGTAGAAATTCAAAGGTACCAAATTCTATTTAGGGCACATACCACAAAAGAGTTTCAATGGATAGGAAGATGTGGAGTGCCATGTAACTGTTAACTCAAACAATGTTATAAATCAGAAGTTAACAGATGAAACAGGTAAAAAATGCATATGACTTTGCCATTATAGTTACATTGTATTTATTGTTAAAAGATGAACGTGTGGTTACGATAATATCATGTTGAAGCACCACTTTTCGTTCGAGCAGTGCAGTTATGCAAAGTAGAGCCTGACCAGTACTTGGTGTTGTAAACTAAGTTTCAGACGTAGCAACCTTGCTATTTATGTTAGCAGAAGACCTTGATATTTGAAGAGGATTCGGGACTGACTGGTCGTAAAACTTACCTTGCATTTTATGAGATAGATTGTTTCTATTATTGTGTCATTTATTACGGCTTATCGCCCATTATAAGCAATAGAGCCCGGCGTTGCCCGGGGATGTAACAGTAAGAGATAGATCAAGTATCGACCATAATAAACACTGAAAAATAAAATTGGCAAAGATTATTGTCTTATGTCTTAATTAGTTTATTTTTGTTATTTTTATTTTTTTTTTTACGAATTGGTCAAACCCAAACTCAAACAAAAACATTGTTTTCAATCGTTATGAGTCTATCGATTGAATAGAATTTTATTATAAACAATTGTCTTGTAAATGGAATTTTTAAAGCATTCTGAATGTAAAAAATAAAGAAAAAAGTGTTCAAGACAATAAGAAACACTAGGTTTTGTTGAAATCGGTTGAAAAATGTAGGAAATCCGATCCCATATATAAACGAACACACACACACACACACACAAACACACACACACAAACAACCAACCTGGGTTTTATAATAAGTATAACTCGATATGAGTTGTCCTCCTTTCATTAATGCCTCTTAATCGTGTTTTCAAATTGATTTCATGCAAAATCAATTGCATTTTTCCAATTTTTGGCGCTGTCAGAACCACCGCAAGGTAATTTTACGTAGTCCTGTAAAGTTTTGTTGAAATCGGTTGAAAAATGTAGGAAATCCGATCCAATATATAAACGTACAGACACACACTCTACCTGGGTTTTATAATAAATATGATTAATACCCGGAAATATTTTTAGATTGTAAAAATTATTTTGTAGATATTAATGATTTAGGGATACAAATTTTACTAATTAACCCATGGCTGGGAGAAAGACGTGTATTTATACCTTTCCCAAGAGTCTTCTTTTTCTTCCTATGTGCCGTGTCCTTTCAAAACGTAAGCGATCATGGCCCTCCAATTCCCCCTATCCCTTGTGGCTCTCAACAGGTTTTGTGTTTCTGACAACTACTCTAGACCATGCTCCGCCATCCACCTGCCCAAACCCGCCACGTATGTCATGCGCTGCTTTCTCATTTTCTCTTTTTCCCTCTACTCATCCCGTGAGTATCAGATTCTCCAGGCCTTCTTTACTCATTATGTGTCCCAGAAATTTCATCTGACTCTTCCTTATGTTAAGCTCCTCCTTGTTTGCATCCTCTCCAAGACCTCATCCTTGCTCACATGCTGGGTCCATGATATCCTCTGCATCCTTCTGTAGAATCATATCTCCACCGCCTCGAGTCTAATCTTCATCCTTGAAGATACCGTCCAACATTCATGCCGTATAGGAGGACAGATGTAACGTAGCAGCTCAGTACTTTTTCTTTGTCACCATAGAAATTCTTCTGTTTCGCAGTATTCTGCCCAGTTTCTGGAATGCATTCTTGGTCATCCGAATCCGTCTTCGCACCTCAGCGTCGCACCAACCGTCCTCCGTCAGAACACATCCCAGATAAACGTCTGCACGTTGCATTTTGGGTTCATCCTTTTACTGATGACCATGCATTCTACCTTCCTGTAGTTTATGGTTAGTCATTCTTTCTCGCTCTCCTGCGATACCTTGTAGGAGGTTTTGTAGAGTTTTTTTCCTCTTTTTTGCTTTTAGTACCATGTCATCTGCGTATCTTTTGTTGGTAAAGTTGTAGCCGCCAATTATGAATCCTGGTAGGATCTCCAGTTCCCTCAGAATTGCCTCGCTGTATAGGTAGAATATGTCCAGTTGGAAGACACATCCTTGCCTTACGCCTCTTTCTATTCTTGTATATTCGCTGAGCTCATTCTCGATGCGAATGCATGCCGCTTGTTGCCAATATAGGTATTTGCACGTAAGTGGACATGACTAAATTAACTGAAATTAGAACTCGGCTCATCGATTAACAATTCCGAGTCATTATCTATTACACCAGCCGGACCTCTAAGCTTAGAGCAGCTGGTATTTCCAAGTGATCATCTCTCTAGGTACTGACCAGGCTCCACTTAATTTTAGTGATCGTCTGGCGACAGGTGTTTCAACGCGATATGGCCATGAGCCCTTGGTGAAATAGATGAATTTTTTTTTGACAAGAATAATTCTTACCTTATTCTATTAATAAATATAACGCGAAAGACAATTCTTATGACGTATGGCGTTTTTATTTCCGTCTACTGAATTTAAGATGAACGAGGCTTCTACGTATTAAGATAACGACTAGCAAGAAAGACGTATTAAATAATTCATTTTTATATTGTTTCCTAGCTGACGACGTTGTTGTTTAAATATGTAAGGTTACAAGATTTATAGAAGTAAAATTCATTAAAATAACATCCTTTGTATATGCATTCAATTTACTATCCTTCATATTGTGAACCCTTTACCGATCAGCTTTATAAATTCATAGACAGGCGCTTTGTCTTAAGTATTTAATTATTTACAAAATCCTAGATACCAAGGTGTATTTATACGTACGAATTTATCAAAGAATTCTGAGAATAAGAACCAGCTTCAATTTTCAGGCTAAATTTCTAATTTCACAGAACCAACTGAAACTTAGAGGGACGACTGGGAAATCAATGAATTTTATTAGCATATTAAGACAGTGAGAGTTAAACATTAGCGAGCCCACACAAGTATATTAGGAGGATCTTTCTAAGTGTCTTAACATCTTTTGCAAGTATCTTAACACCTTTTCAAAGTTCAGCTGCACGTACGTACATAAACATCGTGATTGAAATGAATGAAAACTTTATTAAGGCTTCTCGCCAAATTCTTACTATTGAGTTATTGCATACACTAGAAGCTGGTTCAGGATAAAGCGCAGTTGTTTTCGTTCAAGTCGAGGTTGGAAAATCAATCAGCTTGATGTAGGGTAAAGAGAGAAATGTTTTCAGTTAACAAATGAAAGAAAGAAAAGATGTGACGTGTACACGCAACATGGCGGATAAAAAAGTAAAAAAAATCAAACAAAACCCAAAAATAAACCAAAAAAAAAAAACAGAACTCATCGAAGAAAGAACAATATTCAATATTGTTATACATAAAACGAAAACAGCGGACGCTTGTTCACAGAAAGTTGCTTACATTAAAAAAACAAAAGTGAAACAATCGTTGGAAAGAATGTAAACCTCGCAAAGATGAAGAGAGCTTTGACAAATTCAACAACTATTTCTATTAGTGACCGAGCAGCAATAACTGCGGAAATGGTAATGTATAAATAATATCTCAATTATCGAATGAATGCCATTCAGTTTGTGTGAAGCAATAATCTTATGTCCATTCCCGTTTGAATGCTGTTCAGTTATTCAATAGAGTTAGTTTCATTATTGTCTTTGGTTAATCGAGAATGTGTAACGTAACTTCACAGTATTAACCGGGTCGGTTGGTGGATAGTACGGCATATCAAACATTTTTATTATACTTATCAGTATATTTTTATTATATTTCACCCTTTGGGCAAACCTCAGTTTTCTTTATATCTGAGTCTATAAGTATATATTTGTTTCTGTTATTAACTTCCACCATTTCTAACCTTCACGGCTAAAACCCCGCCATGTCTACGCACATTATAGCGAACCGCCGTCATTTCCTTCTCATTCCATTGGTGAGATGCAAGCTTCACTTCAGCAGCTTCTTCCCACGAAACAATGCTTTGTGCAACCGATTTCTCAGAGGATTCTTCTCCTATCACTACAATCTTAACTTGTTCAAGTATAGGTTTCTATGTTATCTTTTCCACATATCCTCATACATTTTGCTACTTACTCTGTAACCTTATACCTCAAGGCTTGTACAGGGTGAACATTATAGTAAAAGAAATTGTTTGTGCCTATAGAAAAAATAATCGCGTTTATACCCGAATCTTTAGTTAAAACTCATTATTGAAATTTTTTTTGATTACTTTAGATTTTAGGTAGATATTAGTTGGTTTTTTCTTGAAGCAATTGATCGATTATTAAACTTAATCTATAAATAAAAACAATCTATAGGTCGACTTTAAATTTAAATCTATAAATACAAATTGGCAGTCTATATATTGGTCGGGTTTAAACATGAATTTATAATTAAAGTTATTACGAGCAAGAAAGATATATTAAATAATTCATTTTTGTATTGTTTCCTAGTAAACGACCTTGTTGCTCAAATTTATAAGGTTTCAAGTTTAATAGAAATAAAATTAATTAAAATAGCATCCTTTTTATATGCATTCAATTTACTATGCTTATCCTTCATAATGAGGATCTATTTCGATCAGCTTTATAAATTTATAGACCGATGCTTTGTCTTAAGTGTGCGATTATTTACAAAAGCATCGATACCAAGGTGTATTAATACATACGAACTTGTTAAAGAATTCTGAGAATAAGAATCAGCTTTAATTTTCAGACTAAACTTCTAATTTCACAAAACCAATTGAAACTGGGTGGGATGACTGGTAAATCAATGAGTTTTAGCATATTAAGATAGTGAGACAGCTTACGTGTGTAAATATACACCGGTCTTTAAATTTATGAAAACTTGTGTCTATAATCAAATTGACTTGTTCGGCTTTATACATGAGTCTATAGGTAACCACTTATACATGAGCCTACAAGCACCCACTCTATAGGTGGCTTTCTCTTCAGTATCTTAACTTTTTGCAGGTCATCATGATCTAATCTCTGTTGAGAGAGGAACAGAATGCTATGTTTAGTGCTTGCAATTGATAATGACATGTGATGAATTTAGATAACACGAATATAACAAGTTTAAACAAAGCGATGATGCACTTGGTAGAAATTTCAAATTAAAATAGTTTATTTTCTATTTGCATTTAATTTGCCAAAAGTCATATAAACTGACAGACTGAGGCTTTCTCTTAAGTCTTCAATAAGTTGCAGAACCTTCTATACAAAGGTATATCGAAAATTCAAGCAAGAGTGATACCATTATAGATTCTAATGATAGTGCATTGAACTCTATAAACCAGGAGTGAGTGAAAAAGAGAGAAAGAGAGAGAGAGGAGAAAGAGAAAGAGAGAGATGGGGGAGGAAAAAGAGAAAGAGAGAGAGAGAGAGAGACGGAGGAGGGATAGAAAAGGGGGAGAGAGATTATTAAGTTCACCAAATTGTAAAAATGAAATGATAAATCCTGACTTGTTACGTAGGAAAAAAAACAAGATTAAAAGCAAATAGAAAATTCACTTAACGAAAAAAACACTAAAAGACAAAAGAAAACATAAAGAATGAATTCAAGGAGAAAAGGAGAAAAATATATTCTGAAGATTCACAAATCAATCATAGTGTATGATAAATTAAATGCTTTGATCCCCAAACCAGTAATTGAATCATTAATAACAGCTTTAGAGTCAATGACATCAGAGTAATTGCAGTGAATCAAAAATTGATAAGAATTATGATTTAATCTCACCTCTGAAGACAAAAGACAGAAATCATGTTTTTATCGAGGAATATGAACAACAACGAGTGACTGTAAAACTTTGATTAAATCAATACAATCTATACAATGTCATGATATTCAAATCAGTGTTTTCACAAAAATTGGTATTAACAAATTAATGACACTAAAGGATGTACTTATTTTATATAAATATAGTTCGACGGAGACGAAGGCTTTAAATTGACAATTATGTGCTCGATCCTCAGGAGATTTTACTCAATATACTGGGGAGAATTACTGAAAGAAGTTTAAATAAATATTGTAGCTACTCAATGTACTATACGTGGTCTCCGATTCCACGTTAAGCTTAACCTTGTGCCACATTCCGCTGGAATGGGTGTGTGAATAATTAAATACATGCTTTTATATTTATTGTATCAGAAGTAATAAAAGTTTACAATACTAATTGGTATTCGACTCAGAGTTTCATAATTACGCACTTATAAGTAGAATTCAGATCTGTTTGCATTTGAAATATTTGCAATAACTTGGTGTTAAATTATCTTATATAATTCAAGTTCTGTGCAATATATATATATATATATATATATATATATATATATATATATATATATATATATATATATATATAGTTACTGATATTTCGTTTTTTTTAATTTCAGAGATATAAAGATTGCTATAAGTTGTAAGAAAGATAAAATCTATAAAAAAGAAAGAAGTTGCAAAGTTGTTCAGGAATATAAAATTGCGAATTGAAAAAAAAATGACAGTGATCATAGAATATCCCCCCCCCAAAAAAGAAACAAACAAAAAATAACATCGGCAAGATTTCTTATTCAGATAGTGGCAGTCGCTGTTCCAGTAAAGCATATATTAACATTTAAAGGTGAAATGCCATAAAAATACCAGGACATGCGAAAACAACTGTGTTATACGAAAGTGACTGTTGTGACCCTCATTATTTGGAAGCTCGGAAGAGCCTCAGATTTTCTTGTAAAGGGTTCTGAAGGGAATTGATAATCGGAGGAGAAAATCGAATCATACAGATGATGGCATGAAGTTTATTACTAATGAACATTGGGGAGAATTATTTATTTACAGTTGGGTTACTATCCTCATAGTATTTATTACCACAACGTTTCGTTCCTCGAGCTTTCCGACTTTTATTTAGGTATCTGTCAGAGAATTTCGAACTGGACCCTTTATTTCATCTATGTTTATTTCATCTATGTTATATATATATATATATATATATATATATATATATATATATATATATATATATAGTTAATACCTTCAGTTCTAAATTGCTTAAAAGTTGTTTGAATCGACACTTGCAGAGAGTCGGAAAGCAGAATATCTGAAATATGGTAGTGCTAATAAAAACAAAGACTAGGATATTAATCCAACTGTAAATAATGTCAATAATGTTAACTTCTTATCCTAGAAAATATGGCCATAATTTCCATGAGACTTACTGCCACTTGTTCTCCTGCGAAACGCTAGAAATAAATTAGATGAAAAGTGTGTATAATTATGAGAGTATTGAAGAGGTTGTAATAGATAAAACTATCGTGAAAAACAGTTTGAATATTAATAAGAATTTTGAGCGTTCTTCGGTTTATACAGCTAATGACGACTCATGGGTAAAATCAATGGGAAAAAAAAGATTCGATGAAGTACAAAAGAATGGTGATGAAACAGAAAATGTGATTAACAATTAATTTTTAGATTATAAGATTTTTTTGAGATAATAATGATTTAGCGATATAAGTTCTAACAATTAAACCATAACTAGGGTGGGTGACGTGGATTCATACATTTCGAAAGGGTATTTGACGAACGCGACTGGAATTGGAGGCATGATCCACAGCCGAACCTGCTCTTCACAAGCGGTCACCCATCTAGGTACATATCAGCCTTGATGTTGCTTAACTTTGGTGATCGTACAGGAAGCGGTGTTTCAACGTCATATGGCCGTAAGAAGTAAAACAGAATAATTTAGTAAGTCATATCTGATTAATAATAATAATGGTGTTCGAGTGATTTTACAACAAGCCAACACTTGCCATATTATTTAATGTCAATTTTTGTACAGAGCACCTAGTTAGGTTCGAAATCTCTACTAATAACTAATCATACTAACCTTAGTAAATATCAGGCAACACTGAAGTGCCAGCAATAAAAATAGAGTTTATTTCATATTTGAGCGATTTGTAAATAAAAATAATCCTGTTGATGACCATCTTAAAAATAAGAGTCATCAAATAAATTCTTTTCGAAAAAAACGGCTTTTCCAAAACTATCTTGAATCTTAGCACATACAGTGTTAAGAAATAATAATAAAAATTCCAAACATTGCCGCCATATCGCAATTCGATGACATGTAGTTCGAGATTAAGTTTCATTTTGGAGACAGCTCATATCAAAGTGACATCTCTCCAATTTCTGCATAGAAAGTAAACAAAATTTCAAGAGAACGTAGTCTGCTTTCACTCCGAATGTTCTTGTACAGGGTAAAAACCCCAGCGGAATTTGCACTGTACACAATTATTTTATCTCAGAGTGTAAACGAATCTCTAAAACGTTGACTGTATGCATTTGGCATTACTGAGGTTTTACATTAATGTGTAGGAGTTAGGTTGTCCAGCGTGTTGGGATAGAAATAGCCATTCGAGAGCCTGTCATATGAGAATGGCGCTAATGGCAAAATTTTCTACTCGATGCAAAAGGTTTTCCTTTTAAAAACAGTAATCAGCAACACAGCTACGAGTAAATATTCACGAATAGTATAGTACAAGTTGCAACCAAACCAAATTGCGGATATTATACAGAGATATAAATGATCATTTTTAAAAGTGCATTACAATATATCATTGTGTGCGTATTTGTATGTAATTGTATATCTGGGTTTGCGTTCAGATACTGGCATGAATGTGCAACGATGTGATGCTTACACCCGCATAATGGTAATACTAATGTCAATATTATCCGTGACCATATAAGGAAATATTCGAGCAGCCAGTAATACTATCGGTTGAAATTTATATAATCTTTTTCTTGAAACAATTTTTAGGAAGATATTTTTTCTCAAGTCCAGTAACTGTTATTCCTCCTTCCAGTAGTGATGGGGCTTTCTTCCTTCCAACTAATATCGAAATAGTGTGGAACGCCAACATCTAGATTAGATCGTTATTTTCTGTTCGAGTTACATGTGCTATCCATTTTAGTTGTTTTTGCTGTTGAAAGTCCACAAGTGACGTGGTTTTTGGTACAGTTCTTTGTGATTCTGTAGCGCCAGTACTCGAGGCCCCCAAAATGATGCTTTCATATAAGGCCTAATGATTTTATTCGCTAGAAGATTTTTTGTTTGTTTAGCGGCATATCAATATCATATAAGTCATTTAATGCCGAAATTTTCTTGGGAGCATTAGTAATTTATTTTACAAAAATGTATTGCTTGTAATATATATATATATATATATATATATATATATATATATATATATATATGTATTATGAAATAGACAAAAGTCCGACAATTATTTTAAGACATTTTATGTTTATACATTCTTTTTATAGATACAAATATTTATAAATGCTCTGTTTATAATAAACAGTATTAAACTACATTTACCGGCCTGAAATGTCAGAGGACGAATATTTTCTATAAAAATTTCTCGGACAGTCAGGCCGGTAAATGTTGTTTAATACTGTTTATTATGAACAGAGCAAATACTTATTTGTATCTATAAAAAGAATGTATAAACATAAAATGTCTTAATCTATATATGTATTACAAAATATAATGCGGGTATTTTTACTATAAAATATATGATTTATACTTTCATAGTGTTTTGATCCCAGTTTTTGGGTTAACTATTTGCCCAAATCTGGGATCGTAACAGGTGCTACCACCTCCGCTCATGGTGGAACTAGGAACAGCAGCAATTAAGAGGTATATGCACGTTCCTGAAGACCATATAAGGAAATATTCGAGCAGCCAGTAATACTATCGGTTGAAATTTATATAATCTTTTTCTTGAAACAATTTTTTAGGAAGATATTTTTTCTCAAGTCCAGTAACTGTTATTCCTCCTTCCAGTAGAAGATTTGCTTTGCGACCGGATGTGGTTTATTGTCATATCCAGGACGTCGCTAGATGACATCATTGAGGTAAAAGAATGTTCATAAAACTATTTAATTTATCAAAATACTGGTTATAAAAAAAATCATTTATTTTACGCAAAATATTCAGTTTTCAATATAAATTTATTCAATCAATTTAAACCAGCGCTTCTGAGTTCATCACTTATATTGAATATTTTACAGTGAAATTTTCCAATCAAAATACATTAATAACATGTCATAATATTGTTGATTCAATCTCGTGTTTATGAGAATACAAAAAGGATATTTTGGATTTTGTTTGACAGAAAATGAAAAAAAAATCAACTGAGATCGTCACTATTAAACCTTTAAAATTAAAATGACATTTGACATTAATATCCTTTCATTTTCCAAAATATTGTCTATAAAATGATGAACCACTTATGTCTTCTTTTTTTACATCCTACGATTCTTTGACGATGGATCAACAGACAAGTAAATAATTAAGTAACAAGTTTTTTTTCTACAATATTAATAAACATGGCTGAGGAAATTATTGAAGATGTTTAAATTGTTGAATCTACATCTTCTATGAGCCGCGTCGCTTTAGGGCATGGGCGATGAAGGCTTTCCATAATCTCTTGTACTTTGGAGTTTTAATATATTTGTCTTTTTGCTATATCTCCTAAGCCAAATTGTGTCAGCCATTTGCAAAAGCCCGTTAGGTAGGTTAGGCCTCACTCTCCTCTGTCCTTCTTGACTTTAAAATGCCCTATGAGTTTCAGTTATTATAAGACTTCTTTCCTTGTTATGTGACCTCGAAATTTCAACTGCCTTTCTGATGCTAAGTATATGAGTTCTCCTTGTTTCCATTTTCTCATTGCTCTGATATTCAGTCCATGGTATTCTCAGTAATCTTGTTGAGAACTACATATCAGTTACCTCCAAGTTTCTTTTTCCCGTTTCTTAATAATTTGCTTAGTTTTTGGAAGGCATCATTCACGTGTCCATTGCACCTTCGGTTCTCAGTGTCACATATTTATGTCCTCTGCTAAAACATTTCCTAGATATTTAATTTTTTGTGTTTGCTTGATTTTAGTATCTCCGATTTTGAATTGATGACAGTCATATATTGTGTTCTTATAAATGATGTTTAGTACTTTGTTCTTGCTTTACTTTAAATACTATTTGTAGAAGTTCCTGTATTTGCCTTTCAGTTTCTGCTAGCAGCACTGCCTCATCTGCATATCTAATGCTGTTAATATTGTGGCCGATAATTAATCCTGTTAGAACTTGTAATTCTCTCAGGATTGCTTCACTGTAAAGGTTGAATACATTTGGTGAGAAAACACATCCTTGTCTTAACGCCATTTTCCATTTTTGTCTATTTACTGAATTCACGATTCAACCGTATGTATCAGTTCTGGAAAAAATGTTGATTTATTTTGTGGTACATACAGTTAAATTCAACATAAGATAATCCAGTATGTACAATATTCATTATCTGTAAAGAAATTAGTTTAATAGATATAATACTTTTAATATGAATTATACATTCACTTTATCGTCTTCAATAATTTTCATTTCTACATTGCCATAAATTTTTGGCGAGCTAAAACATCAATATGAACGTCTTATAGTCTTAAGCAAGCTAGAGTCATAGCTACAAAACCTCAGATAGAATAGAATTCTTCTTTTTCTTTTTGCCTCATTAGTGCAGGACAAATATCATTATGTTTTTCCACGACTTCCTAGACGTTATTGCTCTTAGCAACGTTTTTACTTTTACTATCCTTCCCAAACCCAGTTCTGCTATTCATTTATGCATGCTCGTAAGGTATATTACGGGCTGTGAGTGGTACATTTTCAAACCCTTTTTCCTTGTCCCAGAAATCTAACTGTCACTTTTTGATTGTAAGTATAATTGTCCCTTTTTTCCTATTTTCTTTAAAACTTTATTGTTGCTCACATGCTCCGATTGTCGTAATTTGATCATCCTTCTGTAGAACTACATCTCTGTTGCCAAAAAACTTCTCTTCGGCTGTAAGGTAATTGACCAGAACTTACTGCTAAATAGGAGGACTGGTATGAATCAGAACCCTTTTATTTATTGCCTTCAATACGTCATGTGAGTGTTAAATGTTCCAAGCTGTCTTTACTTATTATGTGTCCCAGAAGAACTGAAAAAAATGTATTATTCTAACGAAAATTATGTATTTATTCTAATGAATTTTCTCTGTTACTAGAGTAAAGATGATATTTATACACAGCAAATTTACTCTACTAGAACCATATGTTGATCGTGGTGAAGAAGATATATTTCCAAACTTGGACAAACAGACTTTTGTTGATGTTTTCTACATACAATATCAGAAAATATTAAAAAAAGACTGCTTACTAATGCATGCACATAACTGCTGCTACTTCGAATGTCTTTATACCAATTATATATATATATATATATATATATATATGTGTGTGTGTGTGTATGTGTGTGTGTGTGTGTGTATGTAGACGTGTATATATATTCTATGGATAAATGTTTATTTGATTTTACTTATTTCGAATACAGATCTCTTATATTTCTATGGAAAAAAGAGACATTATGTCAAAACAGTGTCAGCCATTGCAATTTCCTATCTTCAATCTTATGCAGTGAGATGCTCATGTGAGACATTTTTTTATTCATCGCATAGACAGAAAGTATATTTTGTCAAGAAAATGAAATGTGTACATCTTTCGAAGATTACACTTTTTGTCGTATACCGTACTACTACAGGCAATATCGAATCCTTATTCATTCGACGGTGGTTCCTGGGGGCTACCGAGTATACTGACTGAAAATGGTCAATAAATACAATGATCAGAATGTC